GAGTTGAGAGAGAGAGAGAGAGAGAGAGAGAGAGAGAGAGAGCTGTAGGCAAGTCATGCCTTATTTGATTTAAAACAGTAGATGTATATTCGCAATGATACGTTCGACTATTTAAATATTCAAACAGGACCACTATAACAGAGAGATTGAGCCCCCACCACACCCCTCCCCCATCCCCAATCCTTATTCCACTCATGCACCCCTGTTCAGTATAAACAGCATTTTCTATGAAAGGCAGAGATATACCCTTCGCTGCAAGGTCCAACTTTGCTATGCTGGCTACAATGTCCCATCAGACAGACAGAGGTATAATATAAGACTTCCCGACACAAGAATCAAATTTATCTCTCACAGTAAAAGCACAAAGGGACCAATATACAGGCCTATACACTGAATAACATTTGAACAAAGTAGAGATAATAAAAGTAAACATACCAAGACAAAAGTTATAGTTAATATAATTTTGTTTTTATTGGGGTTTTCAGAAGATCAGAATATACAGCATAAAAAAAATAAAAATTCAGAAATTTTTTCTCATCATGTAGGTGGCATAAGTCAATAAGAGAAGTAACAACATTACAAAATCATTAGAAAGAGATAACATTAAATATGTGTCACCACTATTAATAACAGAAAGTAACCAAAATGACTAGGAAACTTTTTTCTTTTAACACGAACACTGTATTTTGTTCTGCAATGACTAGGAAACTCTTTTTTTTTCAACAAGAACACTGTATTTTGTTCTGCAATTGGATACTAATAATACAATACAGTCAAAATTGGAAAAAAAAGCAACATTAGAAAACAAATTCCAAACATAGGAAAAACAAATTTAAAACCATATTCTAAATAATCAAACAATATTATAATATTATATAATGTTGTGTTTTTCATTTATCATTATCTTTTCAAAGACAGGATCTCATGCCATTTTGTATCAACACAGTCAGAAACTTGAGAAGAATCTCGAGTCATCTTGAGGAGAAGAAGGAGAAAAGAAAAAAAAAGAAAGAATCAATATTGGTGAGGTTGAGACAGATCAGAGTGTGACAGGAAGGGAAGAAAACATTACACTTGTAAGAGGGAAAACCAAGATACATATAAATGTAGATTGTAAAAAAAAAAAAAATACCAAACAAGACTTTGTGATATATGTCATAAATTAGGATACTTTCCGAATGCTTTTTGAGAGAGGAAGAGAGCACCTATGGAGAGCATTAATGCTGCGCCTTGTGTAAACAGACAAAACATCCAAAGAGTATAAATGAGAAATAAAGAGCAAAAAACATTTATTGTTCAACTGCTCTTACAAACAACAACTGGGTTCAAGCCTCTTTTTCCGACAAAACATATTATATCTAAGCGGGTGATAAAACATTAATATCTTCTTTTTTGTGTACCTCTGCTAGATCTCGGGGGTAGTTTACTGCTGATTTTTCAACCTACAGTGCAACTGATCTTCACATATGTGATTGTTTTTCCAACTTCATAGGGCCCCGTGCTTTCAGGTGGGGAAGAGAGTGGAGAGGAAAGCAAATGACAGAACAGGACTAGGGAACAGAAAAGGAAGACAATGGAGAACATTTTAGAGAAAAAAGATTCAAAGATTTTTTTGACGCTGGCAGCTTTCAATACAGGAACTGAGAGGCGAACATCATACCTCTAGACCAAGAGAGCTCCTGAGACATAACATAAAAACTTATAGAACAGTTCAAACCAAAAACGTCATAATTATTATTCAAAATAACTGTCTTTCCAATTACCTGTTTCACAATAAACCATTTCATATTACATCAACATATTAAAGAAGAGACAACAAAAAACCCCACACACTTTCATTAGAAGTGAATTCTGGGATAATATGACAATGAATAAAATATTTTGCGAGGAAGGGCAGTCAACAATACTAAACACGATTATTCTTCCCAATACCAACAATTTAAAAATGTAATAGTCTATGGCAAAGGAAAAAAGAGAACAGCAATAAGATGAATGTATATAAGGATGGCACAAATCAGAGGCATCTTGGTTAAAGCATATTTGTGAAGCATCGTGGTGAAATCAAGCGCTCGTAAAACAAAATAATGAAATCGAAGAAACCGGTATTTTCCTGCCCATTTGGCAATTTTTATTGAATTTTAGTTTTTTGGCTCAACACTTATGTCCAATCAAAAACATATACTATGAGTGAATTTTGCTGAAAAACGATGAAAGGCACAAAAAATGTAAATTTGTAGCCTCCAAAGACTCTAATTTAAAGCTTTGGAAGTCATCAAAGTTTGGCGGCCATTTTCTTGCTAAGTTTACTTCTGAAACCAGGTGACCCCTACCTCCTTCAATCGCAAATGTGTATCTCCACTTCTATTCAAGACAGATGGGTATTTTTTTACCGAAAGATAGACAAATGAACGAACTTTAGGATAATACCAATAACTTCACATGCCAAAAAATTGATGAGCGCTTGATTCCACAGCGTCGTGACACATTTATTATGTTAAGAAAATATATGAGCAGGCAGCTCATCTGCCCTGGGATAGCTGATTTGTGTGCCAGGCTTTGTCACACTGACGGAAGCGATGAAACTTGCCCGCTTGATCATCTCTGGTACAGGAAGCTCTGGTCTTGTTGCCAGGAAATAAGCAAGAGACCCAATGAATGAATCTCCAGCACCCTAGACAGATTTGACAAAAACATGAACATTAAAAATTGATTCAATTTCTTTGCTTAAAAAACAAACAATAAGAACAATACCTTCAATGGCAATACGGTTATCTCATATCAAAGTTGAAGATAAAGTGAGCGCAATATGTGAATGTCATAACATGTAAACAATTTAGCTACAGCTCAAAGAGCCACCAAGACTACTCCCTACAATCACATACTCTCACTCCTTCCATCAGAACTTTGAATACACATCCAGTGGAGTCCTGATGCATCAAACTCTCAAGAACTTAATTGACTCTTTTATCCAATAAACATTGAAATATCAATTCTTTTGTCCTTTATATTTTTCAAACAACTAAAAATCTATGCAAAAGACAAAGTCCAAGTTCCTTGATACCTGAAACATTATAGATAATAGATAGTGTTTGTTTAGCTCAAATTCCCACTCAACAGCAAGCTCTATGCCCTTTGTAATCTCTATTATTATCCCAGCAGACCAGATATAGCATTCTAAAACAGCCTCAACTTCCTGGGATGTATACAGTGCGAGCTGCCATTTTATAGGTGCAAAAACCATACTGACAAGATCTCTCTGATGTTCTTTTGTCAAGTTAAGAGCAGCAGGGAACCACCAGTAAGATAAAAATACATAAGTACAGTGGAAACCATATATAACAGGCCCGGTAATAACAGTGATCGGTAATAACAGGCAGGGGCGAAGCGTCTATATAATCAAATAATCACTGCTTCCCTTTCTAATTTTGAAACATTGTCGCTATCAAATTCATCCTTAAACGTAAACCTCATAAATTAAATGTCAAAAGACGTTCGTAATCAACAAATAAAGTGAGGCTGGAATAGAGTTGAAGGGAACATGTGCATGGCAGTCAAAGCTGTTTCATTGCCACATATACCCTGTTCACCCCTTTGGGGCCACAGTTAAAATAAATCACAAGCCCTGATTAAGTAAGCTAACTAACACTGGTCGAGTCTACCTCACAAATGTGAGGGGAACTAACTCTTAATAATCTCTTGACTGCTGCTTGTGCTTGTTTTTTTTCCTCGACTTTTTACCGTCCTATAATCAGATCGTGACCTCGATTATGACACCAGCTCCTGGCCGCGAAAGGCTAACAAAAACAGCCAAATGTGAAATTTAAAAAAAAAAAATTGTCAGGTTCTACCAAAGAGTTAGACTCACTGGTAGATCTATAACATATAGATCTAGTACTGACATCTCTGCTTCTTTGCTTTATGTTTATGTATTCACACATCTAAAGTTAAGTTTAATTTTAGTGGGAACTGATATTTAATAAGATACTTTCCCGATTATTTTGGCGGTTGAACATACAATATGAATTCCGGATTTGTTTTCATTCACAACTCAGAGTCGCCGCCTCGAGTAAGATTCTTGTGTGATATCTACAGGCCCTATCTGGTCCCATTTCACTTTGATTACCCTGTCAAACAAGTCAGCCTTCGCCCCTGATAACAGGGATTTTTTAAATCCCCGTTTTTTCCTACTCTTTGTCTCTATTAAAAGTTATCGGCAATAGCAGGGCCTTATCGGAGCCCAATCGGTTATAGCAAGGTCAAATGCTCGTTAACAAAGTGTAAAAAGGTGAGAGAGAGAGAAAGAGACAGAGAGAGAGAGAGTAACGCAGTGATAGAGCAAGCCCACGCAAGCCACGCCACTGCAAGCGAGAGAGGACTACGGTGTGCTGCAGACTTCGATCTTGCTCTAAGCCTAGCTACATGCATGCGTAATGTGTCATGCTCAGGCCGTGGGAAACTACCCATGAATAAATACAGCTGGATTTAGTGCACAAATGATTACTTCCCTTTCATTTCTGATTTAACAGGGATCTGATATAACAGGACTTTTTCTCTGGTCCCACCATCCCTATTATATCAGGTTTCCACTGTACTCATTTCGGTTAAACCCCTCTCCCTAAAAGAAAGAATTGGGGTAAATAAAGCAATTAGAAATCACCAGTACTATCAATTATAACTGAAACAGAATAAGAATCTAGACATTCTCAAATTGTGTACGCTGTGAGTGAAACTGGTTCATCCTTGAATACCCATATTTTTATATCATTCATAATATGAAAAATATATATTCTTCTCTTTTACGCAATTTTGATTAACATAAGAGAGTTAAATATCCTCATCTTCATAGTTCTCTTACTGTTGTGTTCATGTCTATTTTAATGCTGCTATGTGTGGGATTCACACGTGACAGCAACTTCAACAAAGAAAAGTGTGTTGTGAGTAGTGAACAAAAGATAAAGCCAGCCAGTATATAGGAGTGTGCCCTTTTTTAACAGGAAAATGGAGTCAGGTGTTGTAACTATGTAGTAACTCGTCACCTCGCAGAACTATTTTGTCCAAAGTGCCTCTTTACTCAGTACACTTTGGACAAAATAATTCTGAGGCGATGAACTGTATGTTGATATTATATTTTTGGGTGTAAAAGACTTGACTGCCACTTCAAGCCACTTGGAGAATGTTTCTTTGGTACATTTGTATGAATATAGGATGACAGAAGTAATTTCAGGGGGAAAAAAATCTTTCTCACGTTCACCCGTTGAATTATTTAGGAGAACATATCTAGCTAAAAAATATATCTGCTCCAAGATTTATGTTCTTTTCTTTTCTTATTTGGCAAACATTCCAACCTGCTCCAACTGCAACCTGAATAAAACAATCACCTATACAAATTTATGTTCACTTCCCATGTTCTCTCCTGCATGTTTTCTACATTATAATGACACTGTTGTAAGACGTCAACCTGTCTATGACAACCAATTTTCTCCTTGACAAAAGGTGGCCATCTTTGGACAGGTCCGACTGTAATTATACTCTTCTACATCTAGTGTTTTAGGAAGTGAGCTATGCTAGCCCTTCAAAAAAATGAACAGCCTCAGGGGACTTTTTCCTTGGACACGGTTAAGAGGAATACAGAATTAATTCCCACGCACGCATGCATAATTAAAAACAAAATCATGCACGAGCCCCCATTTCCCCCCTTTTAAAAAAAAAAAAAAAAAAAAAAAAATTATACGAAAGGAAACAACTCAGGAAATACCTTCAGCAAAAATAGACCTTGTATTTATCTCCCTTATAGATTATTCTCTCATGAATTTTGAATATTTGGCCTCCACTGACGCAAATTAGAAATTTTAGCGGAGTCCTTAGAAATTCTAAAGAAGATTTTATATTGAAAGATAATGAATTTGAAATAAGATGCCCGATCTGAAAATATTTTTGAACAGAAAGTTGATAACTGATCTAGATCATTGTTTTTTTAAAACAATGGCCTGTTGTGCTTGTCCTTACAAGTCTCCAAGAGTAGCTTTTCTTTGACCGAGTTAAAGGTGGTCCACTACAATTAAAAAATAGTAATGTAGTGCTGGGGAATAAAATAAATTGGCAAAAAATGGACCCTACTGCTCAGTTGAAATTATAAAGAAGAAATGCTTTTTTATATGACTTTTTGATGTCCCTTAAAATTCTACACTGATTCTATCATTGCCTTGTAAAGTTGACTGCAGTCTGTGGTGTAGCAGATAGGAGCTTTGCTATTGCACACTTAGGATGGAAGTTCTATTCTTGAGTAAGGAATTAATTTCATAGGGAATCTCCATCTATACATATGCCTGGATTGGTCCTGATAGGCTTGGTTGAAACAGCCCATCACCCAAAAGATCCAACTTGGCTCAGTGGGGCCGTTAAACAATTTCAATTTGATTCTTAAGAATGGTGCATCTTCCCCAAGCATACATACCGTTGTATCAACAGCTGCAACAGCATCAACAGGAATATGCAGAGGATCTACTCCTCTCCGCTGTTGATACACAGCCCCGTTCTTACCCATGGTGATGATCACAGAATTACAACCATGATTCTCAGTTAGGTCCCTGCAAGCCTTCATGGCATCATCGATACTTTCTACAGGGCAGCCCGTCAACAGTTCAGCCTGAGATGAGAAAACGCAAATAATAATATTGTTAGTTTGATTTTTGTAGGTATCATTACTCTTTTTTTTTGAAGGGCAAAATGTGGCATGTGTATCAAAAATTCACATTGAACAGAAAACTTGGACACTTCCACAAGTTCTTAAATTGAAAGAAAAGTGGGCAGTTAGTTTTAAGGAAAACTATTAAACATGCAGTGAAGTGCAGTTTTGCTAAACCACAATCAATACATATGTTATGATACTGTAGATGTGTGTGTATCTTGTCTTATGCTGAATGTGATATGCTTTGAAAAACTATTTACTACTACTATTCTAGTAAAGACGAGAAAGAACTTCTTTTGTATACTAAAGTACAGGGGCTACACATTTTTGACCATGTTTTAAAAGAAATAGTATATCCTTGGGATCAGATATAATCTGGTAAAGTCTAAAATTTCCAACGTTGTTCAAGATGCTGAGAGATGGAGCATGATGTTCTATTTGAGGAAGAAATGTAACTTTATCCCAGGTACGAAAAACAGACAATGAGATGAAAAAATCTCTTAAATTCTATAAAAAGTAGAAGTTAAGAGAGAGAGAAATTTTTTGTAACCTGTAAAAAAAACTTTTGCACAACATGCTACTTTAGCTGGCAATATCATTATGACAGATGATAATAAAACACGACCACTATCAATGCTGTGAATATATGCTTATATTTGAAAACACATTGGCAACCAGCGTGCAGCAAACAGAAAAAGGACCTTATAAACAAAATGAAAGAAAAACAGTGGACAAGAGTAAAATGAAGATGCAAAGGGCGTGCAACACCCAAATTCTGAAATGTCATACCTGGGTTGGAATACTTCTATCTTCACAATACTCAAAGTGAGTAATTTGTGGAACAGTCAGAAATTATCATTAAGATAATTCCTTTTAAAAAGATAATTCATTTTACAATTTCAAAATAAGGTCAACACGAAAAGTCTCATCAAATCAGTTTCATAAGTTCTGCCATAATACTAACCTCAGTTTCATTGGGACAAAAAAAGTCAGGCAGGCTGAACAGCTCTGGGTTAAAATCTTTCTGTGCCGGAGCAGGATTGTAGATAACTTTGACTGAAGAAAAGAAAAACATAGCTTTCACTCATTTCAAAATGATTAATATTTGGGCACAAATACAATGAATAATAATGATTTCAGTCTCTATCTGCACTTATTTAATGAGCCGTCTGCCAGGGTACTTTTACCGAAAATGCTCATTGATAGCTACAACCCAAGCAAGAGAAATGTCAATTTAGTTTTTACCACAGACAGACCCCCCCCCCCCCACACACACAACTTCTAACCCCCCCCCCCCCCCCCCTACATCACTATCAGTGTTCATTTTAAGATCCAGACCACAGAAGCATATTATTATCCCCTCATCCTGTTCAATATCTCATTAACCGAGCGAGTAGCTTGAGAATAAATGACAAATTGTGGCGTCAGTGGCCTAGTGGTTAGGCTCTCGGACTCGCAACCGTAAGATTGTGGGTTCGAATCCCGTCAGGGGCCCGACGTTGTGTCCTTGGGAAAGGCACTTTACACGAATTTTCCTCACTTCACCCAGTTGGGAATGGGTACCCGGCTATAGGCAGCGAAAGATCTTGTCAGTTTGTTAGTGTTTGAAATCTGTATAATACTCCTTGGTTTGAGCTCTTAATCAGCTGCTTGCACTGTATGCTTCATGGGAAGCTGAGAATGTTTCGGAGTGTTCTATGGTCTGCTGGGATAATAATATAGTGTAAAGCGCATAGAGCCTGCTGTTGAGTGGGGATATGCGCTATACAAATGCTATCTATTATTATTATTATTAAATTAAGGGAGATAATAACTCAAGTGCCAACTGGCAGACCAGAAGAGATACAGACAAAGTGCCTCTGGTCAAGAACAAAGGTAAAACTCTCTATGAGTTGTAGTTTATGAGTCTTCATGACAATGGTCACATTTTTCAACAGATTTGTTTTATTAAAAGTTTTATGGCACTTGCAACACAATAAGATCATAAGTGACGAAGATTAGAGGTGTTACAAGAGAGTAACAAACACAAAAAAGAAGGAGGAGAGATAATAGGAAAGAAGGAGAAAACAACACCAGAGCACCCGTCAACCATCCTCTTACTATACACTAGTAAGCGATAACGATGAACTAGCAGTTGAAGGAACAAACCACACAACTTAAGCCCAAACCAACTCTCCACTGGAACAAAATGCCAGCACTTTATATTGAACCAATGACCACACATTACTTTGGGCCTGAAAGCGGACAAAGGAAAATAGACATTAAAAAAACCGAACTTATCAACAACAATAATAGAACATTGACCATTTCTGCAGCAATAGACGAGTAAAAGAGAATGTAAACAGTGTCTTAAAGTTCAGAATCATCCCAAAAACTATGATACAAACCACAAACCTTTGTGGTTTGATGCAGATTTCATAGCAGCAAGTGATATCACAGAGGGGATTTCATTCTGACAGACAAGTACTTTGGAAGACTTGATCAGGTCTTCAGCAGCTTCAACATCAGATACAGTAAGTAGATCATTAGCACCAGGTACGATGATTATGCAGTTGGATCCTGTTGGTTAATAAAAAAAAGCATTTATGGTATAATTTGTAATCAACCACGTAGGCTCCAATACCTCAAGGAAAAACAAACAAAAATAAACAACAACCTGAAAGAAAAACAAACAAGGAAAAGAAATTGTTTGTCTGTTATTTGTAGGCCTATAAGTATGTATCAGAAACAAATATAGTAAGAATGAAGACAACATACATTTTTTTTTAATTGCAGAGAGAAAAAGTGCTTCGTTCATAATTTCTTTCAGTTTTATCCTCAATACTGTTTTTATCAAACCAATCATTTTGTCTATATTTGAAACAGAACACAAGAAGAAAATGTTCTGAACAAAATATTCAGCTTGCTGTCATTTTCAGTTCCTCTATCACTACCCATATTTTCACTTTTTTTTGCCTACAATTACAGCTCTGTGACTGTTTGCAGAGAAAAAAATTCTTTATAACATGAGCTACTGGGTCTATCTGAATCTCATCGACTGCACAACACATAAATTGTATTTCAACAAGGTTTTAAAATAGAGCACTACACAACATACAGTCCCAGAATACTAGTTAACTGTAGACATTCGTATTGCCGAAAGTATCAGTAACTAAAAAGATATACCATTGTCAGCTACAGTAATTGCTGCAACTCCTGTAGATACATCATCAACGACTTTTACTTGTCCTGAAAAAGAAAAATGTGATTGAACAATAATTGAGTCCATTGGTGGTAGAACTGATATATATTCAAGTGTGGATTAAAAATTAATGAGCCAATATATTTCTAAGAATAAAAAAAAATAATCTTTTAAATCAACACAATTTAGGTCATTTAGAAGGTGGGCTTCAGACCTAAAAGTCAACACAGATTGAGAGAAATACTACATCCCGGCAAAAAAAGTGAGATACTCGATAAAAATTTTCCCCTCTCTGAAATTTAACTAAGGTCTCAAGTGTGCAACAGTGAAGTGCCTCACTGCTACACTAATGACTCCGGCAAGATATTTTGACTAAAGGCGCAAAGAGTGTTCAGTTAGAAATGAACACGACTATTTCTTTGTTGTAATCCCTGGATGCCACCCATCAGGTTCTGAGAGTAAAAAATACTTGCAAAGCACAGAACTATGGGATCAACCACCTACGGTCTTTTCAGGAAAGATAGAAAAATTCAGAGGTGTCATGTGCATGCTGTGCATGTTAAAGACACCTTGGTAGAAGACAAAAACCCCCCCACAAAAAACAAGAGGTAAGCAAGAAATAACAGGGGTAAGGTAAAAAAAAACAAACCCAACAACAATTGGGCTGTCTTGTGATATTCTAAAATCATAAAGAAAAAGAAAAAAACAACCTTTCAAATTTTTAAAGCTAAGATCAAAGTTATCTATACAAGTCAAATAACTTCTGGTTCTGGAAAAAGTGGGTTGCAAAAGTTATGCAGTTGTAATTATAACACAAACTCACCACAATTGACATTACAGTCTTGCAAATTTTTCAAGTAGTCCTGGCCAAATGCATCATTGCCAACCTGACGGTGAAAACATAAATGAGAAACAGGCAGTCATAAAAGGGCACAGGCATCATGTAATCAGATAATATCTATTGGTTATGTAGGTGCTGTGTTTTCATAATTAAAACGCGTTAAGGCTATATAATTCAATCATTCAAGAATAATAGTCATTAAACCCCTAGTCTCCCAACAAATTGACAGTATAACTTTAGGTACAAAATTAGTACATGTATTTGATTTATGTTATGCAAGGAAATGTATCCTTTCAGCTTCATAAAAATAGGTAACTTGTTTTAACTTTTAAGGGTAAAATCTCTTCCTCATGTTACTGTAATTGTAGAAGCTTTACAACCCCATCAACTCTATTTAGATCATATAGGAGGAGAACTGCTTTGACTGTGCCTGTCAGGGACAACCCAGGATGAGACTACTGAGAGTGAGAGAGGATGCGTCCCAACAGAAAAATGGAGATATATATTCTCCCCACATGAAAATCAACTGCATATCTTCTGTGAGCGACAGTGAAGCGTTTATATTACTACACCACAAATGCCACTGTAGTTCAAAGCAGACAGATAAAATTTCCATGTGATTGTTGTAAAATAGATAACCTTTTGAGCCCTTAACCTTTTAACAGACTCAGATAAGAAAGTAGAATAGAAAATAGACCAAAGTACAAGCTTACCATATTATAGTAACCAAAGAATGCTTCTCCAGCAAACACATTATGTAAGATTTGTAAAAAAAAAAAAAAAAAGGCCAGGATAAACTCTTTTCACACTAAGCAAGCTACACACAATGGTGGTAGGACTTCAGTATTAGGACTCCGTCATGACAGAAGACTTAACAATGGAAAACACAAGGAAAAAAATAAGCATGTTGAGAGAACCAAAATAAAAAAAATGTTTGGCAGCTTTATAGGGACCTATGTCATAGGCCAACTTGTAGGAAATCTTAGAATAACAAGTACAGTGACATCTGGAGAAAATTTTACTCCCTACCCTTTGCTAAAAACCCAAATCTTTAAATCTCAGTAGTCAAGCCCTATTGAAAATACCAACATACATGTCAGAGTCCATACTTGTAGCACCAGTTTCTTCTACATTTGTACATAAAAGTTATGGTGTCTGCTGGTGTGTGTATCAGCCAACACGTTTAAATAAAAGAGTGTTCAGGAAAACCATTTAATGCTGCAACTTTTTATTGTCTTACCTGCAAACATTTTGAACTTGAATAAAAATGACCCACACTCATTAATTCATTTCAAAGCAATGAAAAAATATAACCAACCAAACACGATACATGTTTCATAAATACATGTAAAAAGTTTTCAAATTAGCCTAAGAACATTAAAAAGCATGTCTGTTATTTTTAAATGCAACTCATATTGGCCTACAGGAAAATCAATACATAGCAGCCACTTGTTTCAACAATCATGGCTATAAAGAACAATTATCCATTTTCCTATAAAACTGACTTTCATATTATTATGGTGACTACCTCCATCATGTGATTGTGACCATGACATTATAGAACAAACTATCTTGTGCATTATATCATAAACACTGCTTTCCCTGTGAGCTCAATATTTGACATTTTCATGACAGTTAGTAGTCAGCTACTTCCCACACGCTGACAGCGTTGTTTATGTTGTTATTCACTCATTCTGGCCAACAGTGTTTGTTACTCCTATTTCAATGTACAACTTTTATCTGATCAACCCCAATTTCAGTTTAGTCTAGTTTAGTACAAGTTTTGTGGTCCAATCAAACACAAGTATAAGTCCTCTAAGTGCCGAAGATTAGAGATTTTAGACAGAAGGATGTCAGAAAGTCCAAAATTGAGTGCATCATTATTTCAGAAGTGTCACCACTCACTTTGCTGACCATGGCCACTTTGGCCCCAAGTTTTCCAGCTGTCACACATTGGTTTGCTCCTTTCCCACCAAAACCAGTGGAAAATTTGGTACCAGTAATGGTTTCTCCTTCCTTTGGCAAATGAGTCGCATAGCTGGGGACGTGATGGGATGAGTTCATTCTCATATTATAGTAAGGCAAATAATATGTACGTACCACTCCAGCAGACTAAAGAGACCACACTTTCTCTTTCACACTATTCATGAAAAACTGAAGACAATGAACAGGGTCAGAAAGAGATAGCATAAAATTACAACATTGATCTACCCAGAGAAGGAAAAGCACTCTTAAAGATTTTGTTTTACCTACTCAAACTGGAAAAGAATAATATTATCTGTTCAAAATCAGTCCAGAAAAACTGAAAAAAATATACACGCCAACAAAACGAGTAATGTTTAACATCTGTTTCCCCTGAAAGGCAACACATTAACATGTAAGTTCAAAATGCAAGTACAAACTGATACACATAAATAACCATTGATCAAATGCATAGATATGCCAATGTTTCTCCTTTTTGCTGGTTCTTATTGTGCTGCATTGCATTATTAAGCTGAGTGAAACAGATGGCCGACAGTCAAGTTGACAACAATTTCACAGTAGATGCTTGGATTCAATATACTGGACATAAAACCTTCGCTATTGCTATTATTAGTTTGTATTCTTAATCTCTATTACATATCTCGTTCGAAATTATGTGAGAACATTGTGGAAACAACAAAAATTCTCTTGTGAGAAGCAAGCTAGGATATAGGGGTGGTGGGAACCCTTTGAGCCCTCCCCATACACATGAGCATACGGCCAGACCTGTACACCATCTTTATACATAGCATACACCACCCTACCTTCCTTGATGCATGCACTCAGTGCAAACTGTACAGAAGTTATTTTTTTGTTTTCTTTTGGTAAGTGTTTTAACTGCATAGGGTCCTATGAGCGCACACACAGGACACATTAAACATTCAAGGTAGGAATTAATTTTGAATTTTGCCCAGGTGGTGTCCGAAGCCTATAATCTTATCGATTTTGGACTACCAAGAGGGATCTTTAAGTTTTTAACGTGCGCAACTTGCAAACGGGACCTCCGATATTTTTTGCCCGTATCCGAAAAGGCTATATATAGATGTTAGATCTTACCTACTCTAAGATCAGAACTGTGGCTGAAAGATACCACTTTTAAAGAAAGAACCAAAGAATAGCAGTCTAGATAGGCTGCAGAGTCAGGATCTCAGAGGAGGGGGCAAAGGGGTGGGGTGGGGGGCAGATGAAATCAGATGACAGAACATGGTTAAAGAGCAGGAAAGGAGGTAAAAGGAGAAAATTTTAGAGAAGAAAATTTTACGTCGCTGTCACGTTTCGAACCCGGGACCTATTGATGCAAACACAACCTATCTAGACCACGAGAGCTCCCTCAGTACAGAAGAGTATATTGTCACTGCGCTAGCAAAATGACATAACTTAAAAATGCGCTGGCAGTCACACAAAAAAACATGCTTGGCAAGTAGGCCTACTTATAAAAATTAATTACCATTAAATTAATAATAGATCGATATATAATAAATATAGGCCATACAGTCTCGTTAAACAAGTTTTTTCCATTTATCTCAAAAGTAGCAAAATGAGACATGCCATTTTGCTAGTGCAGTGAGGAAATGTAGTCATGCTCCAGAATGCACTCAGCTCCTATTAATTAGTTTTAAAGTTAACCCCTCCACTCCTAACCAAAATACATTAACCCCCCCCCCCCCCCAAAAAAAAACAACACCCCCCCCCCCCCCAATTAAGTGACAATATTTACTGCTTGTTTATTTTTTAGTTCTAGTAGAGGTTTTACGGCGCTCGCAACTGCATAAGGTCATATGAGCGCCAGAAGATTAGAGGTATTACAAGAGAGTAACAAACATAAAAAAGAAGAAGGGGAGAAAAGGACGATAGATGTTTGATAGGAAAGAAGAAGCAAATCACACCAGAGCACCTACCAACCACCCACGCTTGTTTATTTGTTTGAGTAAAGAGAAGCTCATCGAACCAATTATCGTCATTTAATGCAGGAAATAAAAGTAAGACAGACAGACAGAAACGACATATAGAGTGAAAGGGGAAAGTACAGAAGAATTATATGACCTATACCAGTGGCGCTCTCCAACCACCCGTGACACCTGCTGCTGTACTTAAATTCATCGTTCAAAACAAAGAGGAGGCCTATCTATATATATATACCATATAATTAAATATTCAGAAGAAGCTATATGGGCCGCCAGATGAACTGAGCAGGACGGCCCAATTTATGACAGATACCGGACTTCAAGTGTGATGCGATCGAGAAGAAGAAGAAGAAATATTCAGTCTCTTTTTATGGTGTTCCCAGAAATAAATTCAGGACAAATCATTTACATCAACAAATACTATGATTACTCGATTCATCAGATTAGACTCTCTAGTGTTAAAAGTTAGTCATGTTACACTGACACTAGTTCTATAATCTAAAACATAATTGTAATGCCACCGGTAAGGTGTGTAATATAATATAAACTATGATAATATAATAATTTTTGCATAGCTAATTTTATTTTTAAGTCTTATATATACTAGATTTAGATCTAGATTATATAGCAATTATTAGCTTTAGACCATGTCCAATACATGTAGTATGAGTATGATGTACTATGAGTATGATACAGAAATAAGACATTCACAAATTAATTGTAGGTCTACATGCTCACCATTACAATGCCAATGACTCGAAAGACATGACTAGATCTAATCTAGATCCTGGATCAAGCTTAATCAAGAATTATTTTATTATAATATAGGAGGTCTAGGCTAAGCTAGATCTAGATATATATAGATCTAGATATCTAGATATCTAATTCTAGATCTAGATAATCTAGATTCTAGTTCAAAGTGCCGGTCATTGCCAATTATTATTGGGTCTTGAGTCAGTCTAGGCAGAGTTTAATTTAATAAGTATCCCCATCGCACCAAACAACTATAGCGTGTTTTATTATCCCAGTAACACACCTTATCAAATCAATGTTGCAACTGCCAACGACGACAACATCCATAGTTGTTGAAGATGAGTTCGTTGGAACACACGAAACAGTCAACAAGCAATAACCTTTGACACTTGACACACCCCACGCCTCGGCCTATCTGCGACCTCTTACACAGGGCAACGAAAGGTCATGAATCAGGTCATAAAGCCAAAGCCCCAATGAAAGAACGTATGTGATACACACCCCCAAACAACAGCTGGGCTGAACACACAAACGTGGTATCGAGTACACTCTCAGCCCCAGTAGCGATACCAATTACTTGCACTTTAAAAAAATACTAGTTTTCTGACGACAAAGCATTGGCCTACTTCCACCTTTTTTTAAAATCAACCTTTGATAGGTTTTCTTTCTTTCTTTGTATGTGTATTGGGGAGGGGGCAGTGAACACGTAGGGCCTATGTTTATACCTAAAGTGAAAAATGTATGGGCTTTCAGCAAAAATCCAACAAAAACGCAACTGAATTTTAGGTGAAAGCGCAAAACAAGTGAAAATCTTGAATCTAACAATTAACTCGTCTAGAGATTTGCGTTGTTCCTTGATTAGCAATATCTCTGTGTTGAGACGCAGACTCAACGACGCAAGTGTAGGACATAATTCGTTTTATTTGCACATCATTATTATTCGCACAGCACACTCTAAAATTTAAGAGACTTTTCCAAGGCAACGCACGTTACGTAGCTTAAAAATTTTTTTGATCAGTCCTGAGAATAGTTTTGGAATGAGAAATGTTACCAAAATACATTAAACTTTGTGATTTGAGTGGAACACAAGACTACTATGTATATTTATATATATAGTGAGAGAGAGAGAGAGAGAAGAAATAGAGAAACAGAGAGAGAGAGGGGGGGGGGAGAAAGAGAGAGAGAGAGAGAGAAACAGAGAGACCGACAGAAAAAGATAAAGAAAAAAAAAAGAGAGACGGAACTGGGGGAAAGGGGATGAGGGGCAGGGGTGCAGGGCGGCACCAGCTAGATTAAGAACGTGTTATGCTAGTAGACCTACACAATGACAGGTTTAAGCAAGAGTTTTTGTTAAAATATGTTTTTGGTGAGTGTTTTACGGCGCTCACAACTGCATAAGGCATAAGGTCAAGAGAGGGGGCGGGTTACACAAGCATTTTCAGTTTTGGTAGAAATCAAATTTGAATCTTACTCGGGTGGCGACCAAAGTCTATTCTTATCAATTTTAGGACCACCAGGAGATCTTTAACATGTGCAATTTGTACACGGTAACCTTTGCAACACTATAAGGTCATATAAGTGCCAAAGATTAGATGTGTTACAAGAGAGTAACAAATATATATATATATATATATAAAAGAAGGAGGAGAGATCAGGACGATAGGTGTTTGACAGGAAAGAAGGAGCAAACCACACCAGATGAGCACTCACCAACCACCCGCAGAATCAAGGTAATCTCCAAGATTTTTTCGCCCTCAGCCGAGAAGTCTAGGTGTTTGATTTTACCTACCTTAAGATCAGAGGTGGGGCTGAAAGAGAGTAGTAAGAGCAGGAGCCAAGGAGTGGCAGTAGAAATTAGCTAGCAGAATTTAAAGATTCAGGAGCACTAAGGAGGGGCCAAGGAGGGGGGGGGGGGAGCAAAAAGTGGAGACCAAAGCAGACGACAGAACATGATTAGAGAGCAGGAAAGGAGGTGAAAGTCAAAGGAGAATTTCTTTTAAAGAAGAAAATGTTCTGTCACTGTCACAATTCAAACACCGTACCTACTGAATGAGAGGCGAACATGGTACCTCAAGACCACAAAAGCCCCCAAGCCAGATCTGATAAAGGACAGTTTAATTTATGACAGAATAACAATCAAGAGACACTATTGAGCTACAGTTGATAAGGAACCTGGTCATTGTATGCAAGAACAAGGAACTCAAATTATATCACAATTCCCCATTCCAGAATACCCTTTCTATTAACCAACTGTTCTGATTCCTGGTAATGAATTAGAGAATAAAAAGATGCGTGGTTCGAGTTCAAGTGCTCTTTTCTGTCTTCTTTATAAAGAATGATCAGAGTTTAAACGATCCCGGCTAGGTAGCTGGCATGCTCCATATCTACAAAGACTAAGACATAAAGGTTTCTGCCTTTATATAGCTTCACTTGAGGGTGGGAAATGTCAATATTTTTCAGCAGTTAGCCTAGAAGCCTACAAAGGAGACAACACCTACAACTAAAGAGGTGTTACTCATAGGCCAAAGCAAAATGAATTAAGAAAAAATAACAACCCAAAAAACACAAAAAACAGCAGTCAGAGACAGGCAGTGGGAAAAACGTTTTAAATAGTTTTCACTAAAACAAATTCAAAGAAACCAGAATATAGCAGGCAACAATGTATTGAAACTTTTCTGCTGTTTTCAAAAGCAGTATTATGGATTGCAGTGATCATAATTTCTCAAAGGAAAGTCTTTTTATGAATATATTCATTGAAAAGCGATAATTACAAGCTCATCTGTAGATATGTTTAAGACAAAGTGACAACAAACAATCAAACAATAAAACCAAATTTAAATAACAACAACCACTTTGACCTGTTTCAGAAAAAAACAATCTTACAAGTACATTAGAAGTTAGACCTATACAAAAGTTTGAGCATGGACAATATTCTGATTTAGCATGTTTTTTTGGCAGTTCAACGACAAGCAATGCTGCCGGAGTAGGCCCTATATTGTTCAAGTTTAGTGCAATGCATTTAGCTGGTGCTCAAAGGTAACACTGATAAACCTTTCCTCTGTAGGCACATGTGCAAAGAATCTCATGTCACATTTTCATCTTGGCAAAAACATTATAATGATATTTAATGCAAGTAATTACCAGCACTTTTAAGAATGAAAGTCTGAAACTACTGTATAACAGCATAACACAATATCAGGGCATCACAGCCTTAATACAAAAATTGAAAATACAGCAGTTATAACACTACTGACAGTATCTTAAATACTGGGATCAGCACACACACATACACACACACACAGATATTATACACAAAAAATAAATCTCTTCATACACCCCCCTCCCCCCCCATTATACCACCAGGCCTGCTATCTGTTACTGTCAGGTTTTGGGTTTTGCCATGTAAGAAAAAGAATGCCTATATGAAATAGTATCTTTACACTGCCATCCGCCAGCTGTCGGAGTTGTACTGTCCTTAAACTAATGCAAATTTGCCATGTTTATACCACCAGCGAATTAGCTGTTAGAGGTGCAAACTACACATGGTGGCTGCTTAATAATCTCTTTCCCACACTCACCTCTGTGAGCTCAGCCTATTTCTAGCACTTGTCGTTGATTTGCTCTTGATTTGAGCTGATTATGAAAATGCTAATACTGGTATTACTTTATGGTTTAGGCAGTAGTCCATTTAAAAAATAAAATTAGAATAACATTATTTAATCGCACTGGAGAAACTTCAAGGGAATCCCCAAATATAAGCCTGATGATCAAAACAATGGCAGGCACCTGTGAGGCTTTTCTTGTGAGGACTCACGCTCAAGTCTGCATGACAGGTCAAGGTGGCTCAAGGACTAACGAGAATCAGGTAAAAAAACCCACCAAAACGTACATGGTACTTCTGAAGGGTCATTGACTCATATAATAGCCTAGCTTCTGACCGTCGCTTCTTTCAATTGTGATTAACATAAAATTTAGCTGGAGGTGTTCATGTAATAGATTGCTTCATGTCTTTTTTTTCATGCCCATGGCAATCGTGCAAACCAGATCTAGATAAAGTATGACTGGCCACAGTTTGTCTCTAGTCTTTACCAGTCTACCACTAGTCAAGGTGGCAATGAGTGCTATTCCGTTATTCTGACAGCCCTGCTGTACCGTCAACTGTACGCTCATCCCAAGGCAGGCAGTATAACAAGATTTGACTGTATACAGAAATTATCGCTTTTTGGATCATGTAGTATATAATACAATGTATAAAGAATAACAAATCATCAGCGCCATTCCATGATTGTTAAGTCGTTTTTCGAAGTTTTGGAGAAAACTAATAAACAAGAAAGCACCAAAATCAGAACCAAGACTTGGCGGGCATTCGTTAATTCCAATAAAAAACAAGGAAGGAAATTACAAGACAGAATGAATGAAAATGCTGTAAGTTTGTAAGATGCTCCTAAAGCATTTACTTGAATAAATTTTATGCTTGATCTGGAAACACCAAGAAATTGATTTGGCTGATTGTGGAATATGCATTATCTTGATAGCACTGGAATATTATTGCAGGCAACAGGTATGAAAGACAACATATTTATCATTCATTCATTCATTCCCAAAAGGATCATCTTGGTCTACTCAATATAGTTACCTGCTCAAAGTACAAAAGACAATAATCAATCAAATATCATTTTCCTTGTATCACTCAGGCCATCCAGCACTGCCAAAAAGCAATAAAAGTATAGACCACTGAGAAAAAAAAGTCAGTTGCTTGGTTGCAGTAGCACAAAGATTGAATTATACATTTAAAAACTCCTTTCAACTCATACCGATAATTTATTCAATACCTTGCAAATATTATATTCTTTGAATTTTGGCTAAGGATTCTTGAGCAGTACAATCAAACAACCCTGTGCTGAACAAAAGAAAAAAAACAACAACAAAAAACCCACATGCATACACGGAAATTGGGATCAAAGTTTTAAAAGGCATAATAAAACATATAAGTACATGTAAACACCTTTCTAAAAGAGTTCGGGGAGATTAAATAACATAATAGTAATTTCCTGAGACTGATAAAAAAGTGACAAATAAAATCTGTTTAAAAATTTGAAGAATGGTTTGAGATATTTGAACACGAGTTATCTTATCTTGTCCTTGACTAAAAATGATTTTCCGCGGTAAATAATAATCAGTCATGGTGTTTCCAAATTTTTCTTCTATCCTATATGAGATACTACTAGCTATAGTAACAAGGAGAAAACTCGTCTAGTTCGAACACGTAGCCCAGCATGAAAACTTACAAAAACCATTGTACAGAGCACTGTTGAAGGCAACTGAAAAAGACAATGATAAAAAACAACAACTGGTCTAGCAACTTTTTTTTTAATGTACTGGTTTGTTAGCAAGAGAACTCCTCGGTGGGGCGACAAACGGAGGGACAGGGAGAAAAATCTCAACATCTTCTGCGCTGAGTTCCCTCCTACAACATACGTAAAGGGAGGGCAATTATATGGCACATTATGTCATAAACACACAGATGAATGAATAAACAACATCTGTGTTGTAACGGGTTGGCTCTTTCCCTTGTAACATAGAAGACCTGAGTTCGATTTCAACATGGAGAACATATTCTATTACATACCTTTCTTTTTTTCTGCTGAGTTGTATTCACCCATGTCGGGCAGGACCTGAATGGCAGGGTTGGATCACAACCTCCTTTACAATCTAAATCGTGTCTATGTGTTACCCCCAAGCTGAGTAACACATTAACTTCTGGTGCCATTTCTTTGCCATAAACTTTCTGAAATAGTTTTGAGCCTAGCATAGAAGTAAAATAAATCCCTTAAACCTAACAATGTGAAAACCACATTCTAAATTATCTCTTTTTTTATCACCTTGGAGGGTATATTTTTAAAATTATTTTTATTTCAAGTACAAAAATATTGTGCTTTTGCTTTGTTAACATACAGCAGTTTAAAGAGTTATAATAAAATAATAATAGCAATATAATAATTACATAATAAATGGAATTTATATGCTGTGCCTAGTTCCTAGATGGCTTTAAGTGCTATGCAATATAGAATTATCACTAAACATATCTGGACAAATCAAAAGACAGAAAATGCATACTGTAAAGCCATTTAACGACAGCACACAAATTTCTCTCTCTCTCTCTCTCTCTCTCTCTCTCTCTCTCTCTCTCTCACACACACACACAAACATGCAACCCCATGACCCACATATATTCTTACATACAAATTGAAAAAAAGAAAACAAAAATCCACACACAACAGTAGTGCTTTGTTCTGTTACTACAATTCAACAATTCATTATGAACACAAAACAAAACAGTAAAGATATATTAATTTAATGACATTTGCTGTTGATTTTCTCAGAAAACCAAAATGTCCCAAACCTAGAAAATATGTGACAGAATCAGATCAAGTGACCTTTAAAAAGTTAATCACACAAGGTTACTTCTTTGATATATATATATATACAGTGATCACAAATAACACTTCAGTGAGTGCAGTATCCAAATAACACTCAGTGAGTGCAGTATCATAAATTCTTAAGCATGGAAAAGGTTGAACTTAAAGACCTCAGATTCACAACTCTTTTCTTTCTCATCATATAGCAGATGTGTTTTGCACCCAACACCAGAAAAAGCACGGTAAGCGACAATAAGAAGAGGTACATCAAAGGACTTGTGCTGGCTGACTGATGTGGTACCTGTGAGGGAAAAACACCCCAAAAATACCTCCAACAAATGAATGAAAATAGACTATCTTTAAAGTTAATATTCACAACAAATAAACTTAAATACTATGTCAAGCGCTAAAAAGCTGCTAACTATACTATATATATAAGTCAGGTGTCGACAGAGACATGGTTGATGAAGCCTACGAAGTGGCCACACTGAGACAAGACTTTCAATTTATGGTATCATTCTATGTCTTTTGCCAAATTTGTTAGATTTAGACAAACAATAACTTAGAAATTTACAAAATAAAAAACATTACTTACAGTTTAATTAAAGTATTTTAAAAGTAAAAAGACATCACAGACTAACATATTAATTTATCTCAATATGGGATATCTCTCCCTCCCCCTCCCCACCTCCTCCTTATTTTTCCTCAACCAAACTAACTTACTAATTTATCTCAGAATAGTGACCCCCCCCCCCCCCCCCCCCAGTTATTTGTCCTCAGCCAGGTCTTATATATTATATTATGCTAAATGATCAAAACCATTTTAAAGAGAATTAATTCATCATAAGAAAATGATATGATCAGATAAATAAAAAATTGATAGTTCAGCCCCGAGCAAATCTAAAATCATGACTGTGACGTGTATGTGAGAAAAATGGAAAAATTTCACCACGTACCTCTCGAGTGGACTGTGAATGGAACAAGGCGTCATATCTCATGGGAACACGAGGGTATCGGTCTTTCTTCTGTCGAGCCAAAGACTGATTTTTCCAAATGTTCTGAAAATGAAAAGTCAAATCAACTTTTAGGTTTAAGGCCTCAAAAAAATATGACAATAGGAATACTTTTCAGCCCATATAATTTCTAAGAACTTGTTCTGATAAAGAATATTTTTGCTTATACAATCTAAATCTTGTTTTGTTAAAACTACACACACCAGAGTCATTGGTCATATTTTTCATTTAAAACAGAATGCACATCCTTTAATCTTTTTTCTATAAAATGTGAATATTTCTCAAACAGCAATAGTGGAAATATATTTCAAAAAGGAATCTTCACCATCCTCTTTTATAATTCTGATCGGCATCTTATTCATACCTTCGACTTTCGCATTTCTCAGAAACTTTTATCTATGCTTGAAAATGACAATCTCAGAAAAACATTACCTCCAGTTATTTGTACAGAAATACATAAACAGATTTTAAATCCACATTTTGCTTGCAAAGTTGTATCACAGAAGGTTTTCAAAAACAAAAACTATAGAAGTTTTTGCTTTGGAAAGGAAATTATTCATACAAAACAGGAAAAAACACAACAGCAAAATGTTTATCAACAGACGAATTACAATTTGCTTTTGACGATGTTGCTTCTTCTTCCATGAGTGTAGAAAAGTCAAGAGCTCAACATAGAGTGGGTGGATCAGTTGTAATTCCTCCTGAAAAACAAACCATAAACATAGACATTTGATTGACATTTGTTGTCAGTAAACAACATGTTAAAGTATGTACTTATAAAAACTTTATCAACAGTGCTGCATACAAACATTCATAAAACCTATGATTTCAGGTAGATTCAAAATGAATAATTTCAATGGAAAAAAAGTATAATCCTTTTATTATCACATATAATTTTGCAATTCTACACGAATATATATCAAAAACGTCCAGTAATTTATTTGGTGGTTGAGAGCATTTCTAAAATATTTCATCTCAAAATCTTTTCTTCCCTCTTCACATGAAAAGCTAATAATCTAAGTAGTCTTGCCTGCACCCCATAATAAAAGAAGTTACATTGCTACCTGTAAAGCTTCACTCTGAGGGTTGAATTCATCAAAACAACTTTTTCCTAAATGATGGTTGTGCTGCCACATCTCAACAGCAAATGAAAAAGGTATCTGCCAAATATATATGCAAGAGAGAAAAGTTAAAATGTTCATGCATGTAAAAATAATTCTTGCGATATTGTGGTAAAAATTCAAATGAGCCTTCATTATAATCAGGCTGAAATGAAAGACAAAATCAAGGCAACTCTTAGCAGATCAGAAACAACAAAAGTTTTCAAATGTATTGCCCACATGGACATACTTTTCAGAAAATAATTAATGTTTTTTGAAGAATTTGACAAACACTCTGTTTTCACATTCAGAGGTCAGAAGGAAAGAAAAGCACACAGCAATATATTATTAATTGATATAAAACAGAGAGAGACTCTAAAATATCATAGAAAGGATGGTCAGGTAATAAGAGTTGTAAAGAACTATCAAGGAAGGCGTATCAATTTTAGGAGTACATTCAGCACGAGAAAGAGAGAGAGAGAGAAGAGAGAGAGAGAGAGAGAGAGAGAGAGAGAGAGAGAGAGAGAGAGAAAGAGAGAGAGAGAGAGAGAGAGAGAGAAAGAGAGAGAAAGAGAGAGAGAGAGAGTACGTGTGTGTGTGCATGTGTGTGCATGTGTGTGCAAGTGTGCGTGTGTGTCTGTGAGTGTGTGTGCATATGTGTGTATTTGTGTGCATGCGTGTGTGAGTGTGTGTGTGTGTGTGTGTGTGTGTGTGTGTGTGTGTGTCTGTTTTCATGTGTGCGCATGCATGTGTGAGAGAGTGAGTGTGTGTGTATGCATGTGTGTGTGTGTGTGTGTATGTGTGTGTGTGTGTGTGTGTGTGTGTGTGTGTGTGTGTGTGTGGGGGGGTGTTTGTGTGTGAGTGCAAGTGTGTGTGTGAGTGTGTGTGTGTATGTGTGCATTTGAGTCCCTGCCGGTCAATATCAGTCATATGAAGGAAATTTCAAAACTGAGTTAACATTATTTTTAAAAAACTATCACCTTTTCCCTACAATTTAAAACAAGAATGAAGTAAATATGACCATATTTGACGAAAATACAGAACTTTTAATTGTGCGAGGTGAGGAAACATGAAAAGGAGAAAATGGCCTCCGAAGTTGAGCAACATGTTTCCATAGCAATGGGGGTCTTAGAATTGAGATAGAGACCTGAAATTTAGCAGTTATCTTGGCTATGCCACTACAAGGTAACATACAGAAGTAGAATACTATTCAATTACAGAGAAAAAAACTTATGAAAAAACCCCAGAATTTTCACGAGAATGGACTTCGCATCAAATGCAACAAAATATTAGCATTATACTATGTAGGCCTACCAGATAATACAATTTTCAAAGTAGCTGTATGTCAAATTCATCTGTTTCATATGAAAGGCCTATGTTGCCTGGGAATTTAGGTACCAAACTTTTACCTCTCAGTCAATGTTTAAGAGAATGGCAGCTGTTTCAATTTAACATAATAATCAAAATTGCTGAAGTCGGTAACTGGCTGCAACCTCATGTTTGACAGATACAAGGGCTGTCCCACGGAAAACCGGAAAAGGTCCATAAAAGCAACAATGTTTGTCCTAGTACAATAAAAAAAGTAACACATCATACCTCAACATGTGCTTTATTTCTCAAAGCAATCACCATCCCGCTGGACGCTTTTTTCCAATCACTAGATCAGGGAAAAAATACCCTCCCTGAAGAATTTTTTGTCAAGGGATTTCAACCAATCTTTCACGGCTTAAATGAGGTCTTCGTCGTCGGTGAATCGCTGTCCAGAAATGTGGCGTTTCATTGGTCCAAAAAGGTGATAATCTGACGGGGCCAAGTCAGGACTATGAAGGGGATGTGGCTGAACTTCCCAGCCGAACTTTTGGATCCAGTCTTTCGTAGCATTTGCAGCGTGTGGCGTTGCGTTGTCATGCTGCAAAATGACCCCGCTGGACAACCGGCCTGGTCTTTTTCGGCGCACAACCTCTCTCAACTTATCAAGAGTCTGATAGTATCTTAAAGCATTAACAGTTTGTCCTGGTTCCAGAATGTCAAGAAGCAGAACACCCTTAGCATCCCAGAAAACCGTGGCCATGAGTTTCTTCACCGATGGCTGAACTTTAAACTTTTTGGGGGGAGGTGAAGACGTGTGCTTCCAAACCATTGAATCCCTCTTCGTCTCAGGGGAGGGGTCACGTGGTGTATCCAAGTCTCATCACCGGTAATAATGCTTCTCAGAAATGCTTCATCGTATTGTTGGAGGTCTCCAGATGCGTTAATGACTCCCGTGACAGCTTGGCGACAACGATTCAACAAAGTCTGACTCCTGAGACACTTCAACACGTTGCGTCTTGTGGTCAGCTGTGAGCTCTTTTGGGACCCATCATGCAGAGGCCTTTCGATAGTGCAGCTCACCAAACACTATCCTATCGACAGTCGACCTTCAAATGAAATTTCACGAATTTTTAGGTGCCTGTTTCTTTGAATGAGTTCGTTAACACGACTCTTGTTGTCCTCAGTCTTGGCAGAAAAACAAGGTCCTGGGTGAACTTTGTCATTGACATCCGTATGCCCAGTTTTGAAATTACTGCACCACTCATGTATACCTGTGACTTTGCTACATGTATTACTTTCCCCCCATAAACTGACTTTTATTTCAGTGTGTATTTCTATAGGTTTGAGACCTTATGCGGTCAGAAACCGAATGACAGACCTCACTTCTACCCGTGACCAATTTTCCAAGTGGGTAGCCATCTTTGGAAAACTGCTGTGTTTGTTTGGTTGTGCGATGCTCATGGTACCCAATCGGTAAATTCCCACATGATTGTTTTACAAGTGTGTGTTTACAGAATGAGGAAATATTGAATAGTTTTCAAATTACAGCTAAATTCCGGTTTTCCGTGGGACAACCCTAGTAGTAAAAGAGTACCAAGGGCACCAAACATCTCTACATTAACAGAGTACAATCATCATAACAACGAAATACAGCCGAATTTTTTTCATGACTGAGACCATTGCAACCAGTATTGTATTGCCTCAAACACGATGATCTGTCGTTATTTCAATAAAAACACCGAGCGTTGTCTCGGCCGGCGTCGCAACAGCCCTCGCGGCGAGCGAGTCGGCTCAATACAGTGGAACTCGGATTTAACAAGCTCGGATTCAACGAAAACTCGGATTCAACGAGGGGAGATAGATTCCCCGTTTTTTCCCCTTCTTTATAGTCAATAAAAATAACCCGGATTCAACGAGCACTTAAATCAGCGAGCTCGGATTCAACGAGGTCGCTTCCAGGGAGAACAGTCCCCGTAGATGTGGCTTCGCTCATTTTTCTCCCAGAACGAATTTTATCTATTCCCAGAAACCATCCATTGCAACTGTATCGTGAACTAGGCTATTATTTTCTTAGCCGATCGCATGAGACCAATCAGCGGCCTTTTTTCATACCAACACAATATAATGCGTTGTTGGCATGCGCACGTGTCTACTCTGGCGTGTGTCGGGGTTGGATGGGCGGCCTGCACACGGGTGACTGTGTACTGTGTGTGTGTGTCGCGGAAAGGGGGGGGGGGGGGGACACTAGTGTTCCGGGCGTTAAACGTC